GGAGAAAAAGAGCAAATTGGTATAAAAAGGTTATCTATGCTTCAGCTGTCAACCAAAGTAAATAATATCTGAACATTTGGATGCAGAGAACTGAAACGTAAAGGCAGGGAATGATTCCTGGGTGTAAATCAGAGCATGTCGGTGAACCTGAGGTATTTCTCATCCCATTAAGACTCTCTGGGTAATGCATGTTTGTAGGGAAGGAAGGCGTTTATACCAACAGATGATTGCATGTCTCATCTGGCCCGGGGTCCCGCAGTAAATGGGGCTCATGTCTCCTCCGGTTAATCAGTGGTGTTCCTGATGGCCTCCGGCGACGGCAGCAACGCTGCATTGCTTCAAGAGCAGAACCACTTCGGATATTTACCACACGCTGAGTTCCATCTTTTATTCCAACCATGGTGAGTCACGGCTGTAGAAGTGTGGAGGCACGGACACACGGTAACACCACCAGCAGGGCGCCGGTCTATCAGCCTCAGCTGTTATTTCTCTGTTTAGACACTCGGAGCTGCAGAGACACTCAGAGAGGAGGTGAAATCTCCTCCTCTTTAAACAGGAGATGTTTTTACTTCCTATTGATTCTCTATTCTCACTGCGGCGGGGGGCCGTTCCCCAGCATCATCTGCTCCCAGCAGGACGTTTTCAGTCGGTGTTTCTAATCTGAAGCACGCTGGGAAATGTTTGTGACCACGGCGATCATAAGTAGAAACCATGTAAAGCGATGCATGGACCTGTATTGGTGTTAAGAGCCGCTCAGAACTTCTTCTTCCTCAGTTAAACTGGCAGAACTGGTCCTGGTCCACTGGTGGCATGTTGTGGTTTTCACTGGTTTTCCCACTCCATGCGATGGACCGGCAACCTGTCCAGGATGGACCCCGCCTCTCGCCCTAGACAGCTGGAGATGGACACCAGCGCCCCTTGTGACGCCGCTTGGGATAAGTGTGATGGAGAATGGATGGATGGATGGCTTTCCCAGTCAGACCAGTCAGCTGACCCTCTGCCAGTGGACCAGACAGAGTCTTTTAAAGCCACAGTGTGAATAGATTCCTGTCTTCCCAGTCGATCACGTTCTGTTTCCTCGTCTCGTTGTGCCCTTCCTGGATCCTCTCACCTGCGTTCCGATGTTCTGGACCACGACCCTGATTCTGATCCCTGACTAAACCTCCTCAGGTAACAGCCTATCAGGTTGATATTCCTAAATCTGCCCTTAGAACCCCATTTACACCTTTGGAAACCAACCCATGTCGACTTCAGACCGAGCTTGGATCAGTTAACCGTGCCGAGCTCCTAGTAATGATCTAAGGTACTACTGCTCTCTAGTAAATAAGTAAACCTGCAAACCAACATGGTGGCGCCCCTAACATTCAGGAAGTTAAATTATAATTGTGATTATTCGTTGTTTGCAGAGAGTCAGGTTAAGAAGGCAGCCTTTGGTGAATTTACTCGACAGAGTCGGCTTTTGGGAAGTGGATATGACAAACGATCGTCTAATCAGGGCTTCCAGATGCAGGAAACAACGACAGACGTTGAGGTTCATCACTCTGCTGAGCAGGATCGTCACTGGAAATCGTGCAGCACGGTAGGGAAGCTAGGATTTTCATGACTGTCTTAAATGTCTTGACTATGGAGGCTGACTGTCAGGAGATGAGGCGGTCTGCTCATTCGCTCTTCATTATCTGAGAACCGAGCCAGAACTGAACCAGTCTGAGCCCTACTTATGAACTAGTACCATGTTAGCGCGGTTCTGTTGGGTGGTAGTTAGAATCTATGTTGAAGTGAGAAAGTCCTCCTGAAAACATGGTCTGTGCAGTCAGTTCATCCAGATTACCATCCTGCCTTCAAAGATTATTTCTCTGTGGGAGC